AAAAAAAAAAGTATTAAGTTGTCCGTCTGATAGAAGATGGATGTCTCTCAGTTTAACGTTGGTACAGCATGACCTTTACGGCTTTGGATGCGGAAATGAATATTCCAGAATCAATCGTTATATAACATAAGTCTGCGCCTATTGACCAATTGCAGTCTTTGTTACAGATAAACATTGCCTATCTGAAAGCTTATACATTTGATAGTGAAACGACCGTATTATAAATATTACCGGCTTATTTTAGCTGGGTTAAATTCTTTATAAAAATCCATACACTGTTTGCCGAACTGCACCCTTGTACTAGTTCGGTTTGTTTCCAGAATCTGTCGCAAGACTAGAATGGAATTCTCTGTGGAACTGTTATCATTACAGAACCCATTTGTCCCTCGTTTCTATGCATATTGAGTCCCGCGTTATATATTGCCATGCATTTATAAATCCCTATATTGTCGTGTAGATTCCATCTTCTTGATTCATAAAGAATACAGACGTTATTTATTTACATATTTTCCCTTAATATAAATGCAGTTATCTGCCTGTATCTACTCATTGACGTGGCGTGACCTACTTCTGTCTTCAATAAATCTCATCAGTGGCTCTAGATTGTCTGCAGAAAACAATTTGAATAGCTGAAATTGACTGTCACTTCGATGTAAGTGTGTATATTTCTATGTAGAACAATGCAGTACGTATATCAAAATAACAGCCATAATGTATTGCTTCTTCGTTGACATTGATAGAGTTGGCCTCATTTTCCTTATTGCCACGTGACTTTATAACCAGTTCCAAGCCTGTGCGGGTCAGGTCATTTTTCATGCTATGATTACTTCAATAATCACAATATCGTTGTTAAGTTACAGTTATCAGTATCACATTTGATAACTGTGCTCTTCTGTGACACTGCCCTCGGTGCAAAGATGAATCATACTTATCTCTTTCTATTGTTGATGAAAAGAAATTCTCGTCACGGTTAATGACCTAATCATACTGGACCTGTCCGAAAGCAATATTGACCGGTGTATTGTGGCAAATATTGGCGTCGTTTTTCTTTTCTCTTCTGTTTATCATTCACGACAGTGAGATACATTTTCTTTCTGTCGGCCTGCCAGTTAACGTAGCTCTGTAAAGATCTCTGTAAGGCCTCGTCAGGAGGGAACCGACTTTCCTGTAACCATCAAAACGTTACTGATAATGAATTACCATAAATCATATCCAACATAGACAGTAGGTGAACTTCCAATAAAATAGGATCCGGTTTGTTTCTATATTGTAAAGTTATGATATATATAATATAATGACTCTTTGACATATTAGATTGTATGAATTCGCATAGCGGGTTATTACAAAATATAAAAAATCATTAATGCATACCATGATTTTGTTTAAAAAAATTCTTTGTGATTCATTATCATTCCTAATAAAATGGTGTCAAAATAAAAAAGGATCAGGATTTGCCTTTATTGTCTTTTGATTATTACACCTTATACATTGCAATTAAAAAGGTAGTTTTCGAGGGTGTGGGTTTGACAATTTTTTAATAAGGCTAAAATAACATAATAATAAAAATAAGATAGAGAAATAAATTATAAAAAGAAATAATACGGTAGTGATTATTTCATTTTAAGTGAATTACCTCCTAGACAATGATTTACATATTCTGCGAATACTTTGCAAATTTTACATCAGAAAACGGTTAATTGCATCCTGTTATATAATCTATAAGAAAGAGAAGCCTTCAAAATGCTCATTGAATTTTCGGTTTAGAATATAGTATACCATGATGAGAAAGTACCAAAACTTATTGGTTTGTATCGATTTTCTTTCAGCAGAAAACTCATTTCCATTTTCACATAGCAACTCTAAATTTTAATTATAAAAATGACTTCTATTATAAAATAATGACGACACATTGCCACAGCATATTGCGTCCCAAATATTATAACTAGTCAATCATTACAAAGGAATTGGTGGGACGCCATATTGTTTCTGAAGCTGTTTCGTACATTGATTACTGTTTGTGGTATTCAACGCGACATATTCAAATAGGGAGTTTCGCATGTATCTTTTGCTAAGGGGACACCAAAACTGATCGGTGGCCCCAACGGAAACGTATGGAATAAATATATTTTCTATTCCACCTGCTGCTCTTGTTTCAGTCTTCCAATTCATCCGTTTTCTTATTGCCCAGGCTGTGGCCAGGAAGTTAGGCCACGAACAAACAAACAAAATAGACAGGTCGATCATAATTTGTTCTAAGATATCTCATATTTTAACTATATCTTAAAACATTATGACGATTTCATTTATAAAAGACCTTGACATATCCAATTAAGTTACACCTGAACAAACTCACAAATATTTCCAGATAATGTTTTAGTACTTAAGAAAACAGTAGTTCATCTTATATTGCTTTATTCTGTAATAAAGTAAAATGAACAAGGAATTGGTATTTCTGCTTCGAGAAAAAAAGTACGGGGACAAAATTGAAATGCATTGAATTCTATAAGGCTTCGATTTCTAAGTTCAATTTTCATTTGAAAGGTTTCGAAACGTGTAGCAGAAATATCTTTGTCATGACGCAAATGAAGCAAGCTACAACTAAAGACATACAAGTGTTCTTAAATTAATTCTTGCGTGAACTGTCGGGGATCTAGGTAATCTTATTTTTTACGAATGTTAAAGCTACATGGAACATTTGCATACTTATTACACGGAAGGAACATATTATATAGCTTCAGACACAAAAAATATATCCGTGGGACCGCAACCTAATAAACTTACACATTCTTCAAGATTGCGTCTGACAGAATCGGTGGATTTTTCTTTGAAGAATTTCTTTGAGATCATAATACATTCAGCACCGTTACTGACGACGCTGAAGGTCGGCTGTAGCTCCGTTCCAATGACACTGTGAACACCCTGTTTACAAAAGAATACGAAATGTCAGTATTATATACATTGGAAAGCGACTTCATTTCGCAGGATATAATTTTCACTGTATTGAACTCGGAATTATTTCGGGAAATTTCGTGTATTAAAATGAATATCCTTTAGTACTGACAAACTCTCTGTCAGAAGGACAAAACCTTTGCGGGATGTATATTTGGTGTTTCTTGTAGAAGGCGAATAAAGCGAAAAAAAACACCAGCGTTATACAGAATGATAATTTAAACAGGTGAAAAACTATTGATCATAGCTTATATTATTCAGAGTTGAGAGCCTAGGTTAATACCAAACATAACATAATGTTTATGATGGCAAACGTGTATTTGTGATGATTTTGAAAATTAACCGATAATAGTCTTTCAATTTGTAAATAACTGCTATAATTAACCTAATAGTAAAGAGAATGAACTGCTTAAATACCGTTTCAGGTGGAAGTTGTACGACTAAAGGATGACAACAAGTTAAACAATGTTATTACAACTGTCACAACTGTGAACCATTGGTTTAAGTATTTGAAAAAAACACATGTTGTAATGCATTTAGCTGAATTTTTTGTTGTTTGAAATATGAAAGTTTTCAAAATAGAAAGCGAACGGACAACTCCTACGTTGATGGCATTTATTGTTTTGGGGATTGATCCCAGGGCCCTTCAACCCTGGCAATCCCCATCCGAACAACTGTTGCTGGAGAGATAACAAAAAATAGGAATAGAAAACGAAAGCACTACATGGGTCAAACTAAGGACCTTTACAACATAAAGCATACGCTTTATCAATACTGCCATCATGTAATTACAAATAAACGGCACCGAAACAATCCTATTTACAAAAAAAATCACTGTTCTTTACGATTTTAACCTATGCACTGGCACTCTTATCCTTAAGTTTAACAACCTTCTGAATTCGAGTTCCCCCCCTTACACTTATGGAAACTTCAGAACACATTTGAAAAAGAAAAAAATCAGAAATATCCAAAACGCAATTTGTTTTTTGCAAAAAGCTCCAGTGACCAAAAACCGTGCAATGAACTATCTTAAACTATTTGAAAATATAAAATCCCCTTTTCCTGACCATACCACTACCTATCTTGTTAATAGTTGGCGAGTTTTGCCATTTATAGGACACAATCGTAAATCACTCGCTTTTTAAAAAAGAAGTTTAATTTCGTTATTTTCAAAGACTTTTCCTATTGAAGTTTCTAATAGAGGAAATGTTATCCTATCAATGATGAACCCAATATATCAAAACCAACCACTCGTTACACAGTCTAACAGTTTGAATACAGTTTAAAGGGATATAACTCCTACAAACCGACCCTCAGTTAACATGGACTTACGAAGTATTGCCCCCTTTCCAGGACTTTGACTAGAATAAACATGGGATGAAGATCAGCCTCTGTGAGTTTATAATCTGTTGGTGGCTTGTTATCAAACTCCTCCGCTATCGTTTTCCTGCCTTCTTCCTGAGTTGCTTTCTTCATCCATAATTCTGAAAAAAAATAGTTGACGATAAGATTTTATTTATGCTTGTTGACTTCACATTACTATCATTTTTTAGGTAGCATGAAATTGCGTAGATAATTAGTGGGGCAGTTCCCATTCGCAATCACATCAAATTTAATATAAACAACATAGACAATTATTTGAATAGCTTTTCGGATTATGTAAGATAACATTATTCAGGTCAAGCATACTGAAGCAGTCGCTATTCAAGACAATTCAATGGTGGAAAAAAATATGTAATTTCATTTCGGCTTTTCTAACAATTACCTAAAACTAATAAATATTTTGCAGTTTGAATAAGCATATTCAAGAATATCACTTGATTAATAAATACCTTGCTCTCTCTTCTGAATTTCTT